TTTTTATGCATAATGTCATACTTAGTACATGTGGTTGTACTAACTCCATGCTTTTATCTATCTATATAGTTCTTGGTAGGTGAGGAGCTTTTGAGAAGTGAAGACTTGGACTTAGAAGATCGTTCAAGAGAAGTTGAATTATGTCCTCACTTGACTCAAGGGCATATATGTCTTTTATGTTTTCATTCAAAGGATTGTAATAGATATTCGTATTTTGAAGTATGGGTCATGTCCCAAGTATTCTTGTGTCTTAAGATGATGAGATTGAGACTAAGTATTTCCTATTACTTTTATATGAAAGAGATTTTAATGATTATATTATGTTTTGTGAAAAGTTTTAATTTCGCACTACTTTTCACTATGTATATGAGATGAATGATATGGAAGGGCTTGTACAAGACCTCCGAGAGGTCGAGTACGCCTGTCTCTATCCAAGATTGTGCCCTAACTTCTAGGGTGTGTCTTGGGATGTGATATAAATAAGTTGATATGATGATATTTAAATAGTGTTGATAGTTTTGGTGCTTGAAACTTGAAGAAGATGCCAAAAACACAAATTTGATCTTTTTATTAACACAGAATAATAGATTTTGTGTAATGTAGAAGGTTTGTCCAGACTTTAGAATATTCCATAATGAGAGGAAAAAAAGTAAATATGAGAATAGTAATGTTGGTTTGTGAAAATCGTCAGAATATAAATGAGGCAACATAATGGATTGCATAATAAGAAAGGATGCTACAATAAACTAAACACTATTTCATATCTCGATTATTACAACGATCCCTATATTAAATAATGTAAAATTTCTTATACTTTCTACTCAATTTTTCTTTTCAAATTTAATGATTATTTTAGTGACCTTATGATCTAGACAACCCTGATGCATGTGGATAAGAAGGGTTTATGTGAGTTCAATCTTATTTGCAAGCATCAACATGTAGATATAGAATGATTGTGTAACAGTCTATGGTGTTAAAAAGTGCTATTTAAGCAAAAAAATGTAATTCATGCATATCCTCGTAAAAAGAATTTATAATGTTCCTTCCTAGGATTACAAGAAACTCTTTATCCTTTTCCATTTGAACTTTCAATTTAGTTTCTCCGAAACCATCACATAAAGTAAGCAGGAATTAATTCCGTCTGTAAGCACGAAGAATACAATATCATGTTTTCTCAAATCTATCTTAAGATTGTGTAAAAACTAAAAAACGTAAATAACAATACATGACATGGAAGGTTCTACTTATTGATTATTATCAATAATAAAATAAGGGAACCTAAATTCAGTTCAGCCTACATATTTTGAAGGGCCTCCCACAACGAAGAACAACATCTGTAATATATGATGTTAAGAGATAAAGAAATACGAACATTTTACATGTGGGCACATAAATTTCAGTTAACCAATGGTTGGTTGGTAGGAGGGATATACCAATTTGCGCAGTAGGATGTGGAGTCATTTGAGAAATACTAGCAAAAGTTGTCGTATTTAGCTTGGTTGGAGGTAAAACTAGTTTCTCAAACTCGTCATTTAGTTTGACAGATTCGATTAGAGTTTCTTAATTAAGTACCCAGTGATTTCTTTTATTAATATTCCGTATGAAAATAGTGAAACTATCATTCTGGCAGTCGGGATTAGATATGTATCCAACAATATAAACTTTTTTTTACATAATACGCAATATACACATGCCCTGAGTTGTTGCTAGCTCCCGTAAAGTCAGAGAATTTTGTGAGATATATATAACTAGTATAAATATTATTAAATTATGAGATACAATAACATTAAGCAAGAGTAGTTATTTGTCTTTCAAAATCATATTTTAGAATCTTCTCCAAAATTTGTCGTTCGACTCATGTCCATGATTTGAACTTTGCAAGTCCAATCGAGAGCAATAGTTGTTATTCTTTCAATATTGAATCTTAGTGTCATATGTCTTTTATCTTCACAATAATATGAGCCAGAGAGCAACAATAGTTAGAGTTCTATTGAATTCATAAACTCTTGCTAATGGTAAGACACATATAAACAGTTAAATACTATAAAATTTTGGTCTCTACAATCCAATCCACAATTCAGATTAGATTTATATAATTGAAGATAATTCTTATAGAGGTTCAATACTAAAAATTGTAGTGTCAACTTTTGAAATGTAAAAGTTCTCTGAGTCTACATATAAACAAAGGGAGAAAGATCGTTATAATATAACATCAAATACCTTTTGTACAGTACAACAAACAAACAATAATAGTACTAACATACAATAGAAACTAACAATCAAAAAATAAAAGGAAAGAAAAATACCAAAAAATAAATTAGTACTAGATTTAGGTTGAAATATGAAAGAAAATCTACATAAAAATGTTGGAAAATATTTCTCCAAATCCACGGAAAAAAAAGGCAAGAAAAACTATTATATTATTCTATTTCTTCACATAAGTAAAATCAACAAGAAGAACTACATAAAAAGTAAATGAAAGGAATTAAAAACGTAGACTTATAAACTGGACCAATTTCAAGCTTCAATGAGATGAGCTTTAAAAGTTTGAAACAAATGGACATTAGCAAGAGTTGAGAGAAGGAGAGATGGTTCTACTTTTAATTTGAGTTTGTGTAAATGCAATAGCTATAATTTACACGCAGATGTAAAGCTTCCTACGTGCTCAACAACTAATAACATAGGGCCACAAAGAGTCGTACATTAGAAATAATTAGTTGCACATTTTCTTTATATAAAGATACAAATACCTAATGTCATGATGGTTCTAACCATTTGTTGGCTTATATATATATATATATATATATATATATATATATAGTGGGACGCATCAAAGGACAATGTTGGATTACCATTTTACCCTTATATTAAATAAAAATATTAAATAATAATCATATCATATTGTACTTAAAATATATATTTTACATGAAATAGATACATTAAAAAGATAATTATTCATTAATAATCTTCTAAAGAAACTGTTGTCTCTTTACATTCCCCACTATGATTCTTGACTTTTCATTTCATATATGTATTTCTTTTTGCTTTTTACATTCTATTTTATTATGAGTTTGATAGAAAGCATTGGAACATTTTTCTTTTGGATGTTGCATTGTGCATATTATTTTAAGTTATTTTTTGTTTTGTTTCAAACTTCTTATCTATAATATAGTTTATTATGTTTGACTGATATTTAAGATTTTAATCTCTGCTGAAAAAATAAAATTTGTTATTTTGTGTCAATAGCTTATGAGATGATTTTTTTTTTGTTACAGGAAAAATCAATTGATGAGATGCTTCAGTGTCGATTGCATAAAACTGTACTTTGAGTTGTGCCAATACAAATGGGGTAAGTCACTTTTCATTCTGACATGATTTTTTTCGTTAGCATAATTCTTTGTCTTTGTTTTTTTTTTACTATTATTATTATTATATTTTGTCAATAGTAGGTTAAATTTATTGAATTTTCATATGTAGATTCATGTTAGTTATTTGTGTATAAAGCTAATTAAGTATTTAATTTTGATAACAACCATCATAACCCAATAAAAGTAAAAAATGTATTTATGAGCTTTGGCATGTTGAGTGATGTGATATTCATTGTCTATTCAGCTTCACTTTCTTTGTTTGAATTTAATTTTTTTAATGGAGTTTTCATCCAAATAAAAAAAGGGAGGATAACAACCATGTTAAGAAAAAAAGGAATGAATACAATATCATATTTTGGTAATTTATTCATGAAATTATATTAACTTTTTTTGCTTTAATTTTAGTTGATTATTTTAGTTTGATCCATAGTTTATTCCTCCCTTTCTCATTCAGAATTTATATTACGCATCACTCAAATGTCATAATCTCATTTTTATCATGTTTTTTTATTTATCAAGTACAATTTTAACAATACAATTCCATAAAATATAAAAGAAATGTTGAATTCCTTTTCTAACAAAAATATATTATAATTGCGATGAGTCGTATCAAATGAAATTTGTTTAGAAATGTAATATTGATTGTGGTGGTAGGACAAGAGTTTAATTGATGATATGAGTGTATTAAGTTTGTAATCTATGAATTTAATTAACTTAATTATTTTTTAATCAAAACATAATATCTATATAAAACTATTAAAATTTGACAAATTCATATCAAATTTTAACTCATAAACTAAAATTAAAATCAATTTAGTACTAATTAAGAATCTTGAAGATTACACTTTAGATATTGGATGTCATTGATTTTTGAATATATTTATTATATATTGATGAAATTTTAAAAAATATTTATACTCACTGAAAAAAGGTACACGCGCAACGTGCGTGTCCAAATACTAGTCTCTCTCTCTCTCTATAAATATATATATATATATACACACACACACACTAGAGGGCATAGGGTTGAACATAGTAAAATAAGAAATTGAAAGATTTCATTGAAATTGTTCGTTTGGAAATTTCTCGAAAAGCTAATCATAGGTTCTTCTCTCCATCGGAACAATAGGGGTGTTATGGTCGTACATTTGAGATATTTTTAAAATTGCACTTGTTAGCTGCTAAGCTTGATGCCCTCTCTCTCACACACACTAATTATTGTAGAATAGAGTACATCTGTAAGATCTCAGATACTATGTGAAATGGTAAAATTTATAGTCTCGTGCCAAGCAAGACATTCAAGTCAATATAATCCTTACACAAACCAAGCGTATTCATAGATATAATTAATATAGTTTCAATATTACACCAAGATAATGAAAAAGTTGTTTCAATTCCAATTGCCTACACGTAGAACTAATAGATGTAATTCAATATTACGTTGCACTCTTCTTATAAAGCATATTGTTCTTTACAACATCTATTTTTTTTGCTTGTAACTTTCCTAGACTTGTCTTATCAAGTACACATAATTTATATTTTCAAATTTGCTTAGCATTAAAGAATAGATCCTCTTGACCTTTGGTCAAGTACCTTGCTAGAGGTAAGAATTGACTTGAGCATAATATTTCCTTTACACTTTTCCAGCAACAACATCTTCAACTTCAACTGTCTTTAATGTTTACAACATAATTTATAGATTACATTAGTAAAAATATTATAGCAATTTTTCAGTAATAAAGAGATTACACGTATAATTTCAGTAGTAAAACTCGTGCAGCGCAACTTGATTAGAAGGATAAACTGAAGCTCAAGTCAAGATACATTCTAACTACCTTAAACCTCTGAGTAAACAACTACAAAACCACCTCCACATGGGTACTTTGAATGCTACTCTGGCGTTGGAAGGATCGTAGCTTGAATCTTCTACACCAGATTATAACCATCGTAAACAAAATACACTCTCTCTCAATGTGAAAAGAGTTGAAAACGACTCCCAAATTGATTTTGGTGGAGTAGCTATTGTCCACATCTAGCTCCACGCTTGGTTGTATTCCCCAGCCAATTGTAGAGTAACTAAATTAATTGTCACATACACAAAGATAGAATAATAATGGGCAGAAAGGGAAATAAATAGTAATACTAATAATTCTGGATACCTTAAAAGGACATGAAAACAGCCACGAAAGACGCCCCGAATGGAGAATCTCAGTTTGAAAAGTGAGAGAGCACAAACAGTCAAAGGCAAAGATCATGATGAAGTGTTTAATTCATATTTATGCACACTAAATAATGGACCTTCGTGAGTGATTTTACCCGAGTCTTCAAGTAAACATTGTCAATGCCAACTTTTACAATTACCTATTGGGGCACCATCGTAGCCCAAGCGTTTCGCAAAAGCATAGTGCCCAACTCATGATACATATAAAAGTGTTTTACCGTGACCATTTTGCGTGTCTCAATCATTTGACATTAAGTGTACAAAGTTATATTCCACGATATTCACCAACACCACCATTTTGCATTTCTATAAGAAGTTATGGTAAGTCACTCGTGAATTGTCTTTTGTTCTGCAGATCTGCCTCATTTTTCAAATAAAATTTATATAATGTCCAAAATTTGATTAAAGTGATTGAGAGCCTAGCAAGCTCCTACATAATAGCCAAACATTTTTTTATATTTATAAAAAGCCAGATTGAAATCGACAGAGCATGGAACCTTTGTTTATGTACGTAGCCTCATTCATTCAGGAGAGCATTGAAGCGATCTCCTCTTTTCCTCTAGTAGTGCTATTGAATAGTACTTGGCAGACACTCAAAATTTTCTCTGTCACTATACATATTCTTCTTTTAGAGCTTTGAACTTTGATCATATGCTCATTCTCCTTCTTTACAATCACCTGAGACATCACTGCAATCAAAGAAATACTACAATCTTAACACAATTTCCTTCACAATTGCACTATTCAATCTATGAATAACTCATGAATATCAAATATGACATTATAAAGATATATACATGTGAAATGAGATGATGATATAGTAATTAACAAAATGTAAGGTTTAAAAAATAGTATACGACAATGCAATAAGGTTTTTTGATTTCAATTTCTTTTATGACAAACTTTTTATCAATGAAATCACGATTAGCTCAAAACTATCAATCAAACCTTATCCATCCATCACAAAATTAGGTAAAAATATATAAGTTGGTCATTCTTCCAACTATAATTTCACTGTCACACAAATACACAGCTAAAATGCTAAAAAGAATTTCTTTGGATAAAATCACAACTAAAGTAACTATTTTCCTTTGAAATTCGTCACTGAAAAATGTACAGATAGTTTGATTGAATAGGTGAGAGAGAGAAACTAGTAGTATTTTCACACCAAAAAATTAGAAAGCTCATCATTATTTTAAATGAGGACATGTTTTTCACCATGCATCTTCCTATGGAGCTCAATGAAAATGGGATGGAGAAATCATGTTTTACAATACAAATTTCTAATTAATTCGGTGGGATTTCAACAATTCACTGGTGACTATGAATGATGTACTCTTCATCTTACTCACTTCTCACCTCGACTGGCTAGCCCATTTTGTTTTCCAGTAAAATCTCCAAAATTAGAACAAATCAACTTACCAACCAACTTCATTGTAGGATCACAAGTAAGTTAAAAGGGCGGCTAAAAAATTTGACAGGATATAAATACATTACTGACCTTTGAAAATATCTTTTAGTGTCTTTCTCTATTCATTGTGTTCTTCTTAATACCATCTATAGCTCCAACATTGACACAAAATATTGGATGAGTATGCATGTGCAAAATAACTAACAAAGAGTCAAAGGCATTTTTGAAAAGTAGCCTTCAAATTAATTTTATTTCCTATTTAGGTCCAACAGGAATAAGGATGAAGGAGGAGAAGGCAAAATATTCCACAGAACAAAATCTACTTAGATCTCACATTTGAATAATATCGTCTCAGATAAGATATCTAAAGAGATAGACCAAAATCAAAAATCGAAAAGCTTACCTTACCTTTTTGGTCATAATCTAGAGACAAGCACGAACGGCCGACTGAAAATTCAAAAATACCATACAAATTATTCTGAAACAAAAGAAAAGTGAGATGCAAAATTGAAAATTAAAAGTGATGAATGAAAGAAACAAAGATAAATAGAAAGAATCAATGTGTGAAGAACATAGGGAAGAAGAAGTGAAATTTGAAGTAAAAAGAAAGCAAGTATTCCAAAGGAAAAACGTGTAACCTCTAAAAAGAAAAACACAGAGCTGCATATTGAGAGCAATACACGTGTTAAGCAGATTGTCAACTTACAGTACAATACATATTACTTTCTGTACAACTATCAATTGAAGTGTTCGTACACTGCTAGTTGGCTTCTATAAAAGACTAGGCAAGAGTTGCCCGTGCATATTGAGAGCAATACACGTGTTAAGCAGATTGTCAACTTACAGTACAATACATATTACTTTCTGTACAACTATCAATTGAAGTTGTTGTGCGGAATTTGAGATAATACGAGAAAATATATAAACGAGAAAAACAAGACAACAGATTTACGTGGTTCACCAATAAATTGGCTACGTCCACGGGAAGAGAGGGAGCAGTTTTATTATGGAGAGGCAAAAACAGAGTTACAGAATAGGGTTTCCCATAGCGTCTATATATAGTGCTAAGCTACGCCCTAACAGGCTTGGGCCCCCCGTCCTTTCTGTTTGTAGCGGGTCCGATTCAAGGCATTCAACAAATCTCCACCTTGACTTGAATTCTCCGAACAGATTCTTCAGACGCACTATGATAGTGCCAGGCCTCCCCCTCTTCCTCAGAGTTGCCCCGCATGGCAATTAACAGCTTCTGA